CTTGACACTCATGTGTCGGGTGTCCCAATCCACAGATATCACATCCCACCTGTGGTTGATTTTGCACCTAAGCTAGCATCAGTAGCTTGATGTCCTTAGCCATAACTACAATTTGGGCCTGCATTGCTACCGATGAATCTATTTGGTGCACCCCTGCTGATCTTCTTCGATCCCCTTGATCAGTGGACCATTGTTCTACGTCTTCAGATAGTTCATTCAGAAGAGTGACAATCTCTTCAGGAGTTTTCTTCATCAGAGGACCTGCAACCATACTATTCAGCAATCACCTTGGTGATGGGTTTAAACCGTCCCAGAAGTCCTGGAGTTGCATCTATTACTCCATTCCATTATGAGGGCACATCTGTAATAGCTCCTTGATTCTTTCCCATGCCTCGAACACTGTCTCCCCATCACCTTGGTTAAAATTGTGAATCTCTTTCCTCATTCGTCCAGTCTTAGCAGCAGAGAAATATATTTCTAAGAACTTGGTCGTCATCTTCTCCCACGGGAAAATTGACCCTGTGGGCAAACTTCTCAACCACTGCTTTGTATCATCCTTAAGAGAGAACGGGAATGCTCTGAGGTAGATGGCATCATGTGATGCTCCATTGTAACGGAATGTATTCATAATTTTGTCGAAATCCATCAGATGGTTGTTGGGATCTTCATTGGGTTTCCTTCTGAATATGCAATTATTCTGAATGGTCTGGATGACTCCTTGATTTGAGTTCAAAGTTATTTGGATCAATGGATGGGGGTCTCACACTAGACTATTGTTGGTTATAAACCGGTCTGACATAATCTCCTAACGACCTCCCAGGTCTAGGAGCTGCATTTTCAAATTCATCTTGTATCACGTTTCAATTTGGATTGAACCTTCGCTCGCCGTCGACCGTTTCATCCGCAATTCTGGTTGCTTCAGATGATAATCGTGATTCCCATTGCTGAGCCGCCTCTCTCGCAGTTAGGTCCACTACCTCTTCTTTGTTTACCATTGTATTTTGAGGTGAAGGCTGACCCAAGAACAATCCACTCCATCCTTTCTCTCTTCTCAACTGTCTCAGGTGTTTGTCTAACTCCGGGTCGTATGGTACCAAGTCCTTTGAAGAGGATCAAGTCATACACCACTGAACTTAACATGTTGCCTACACACAGATAAGAAGAGCGTAAAAAAAGAAAAATAAAATAAAGTTGTTCCTGAATTAACACTGAAATTTAACTTAAACACTATTAATCGCCAATCCCCGACAACGATGCCAAAATTTGACGAGTGCAAAATCGGTGTAGACATGTAATTTTTTACCCTCCCCAAAATTTTACACCATTTTAATGTTATTTATTTCTTTTAGTTCTAATATTGTTACTTTGCCTATTTTTGACCTTTTAGCTCTATTTTCTCGTAAATGAAAACTACAAAAATATTTTCCTTCATTTTAGCTAATAGGTGCTTTATCTAGTTGCTTTTAGTTTATATTACTTACTTTGGTCACAGATCTCAGCCACGGGCAAGCCTTTTAACGATGTGGTAAATATGGTAGAGATGGTGGAAGAGGGACTCAAGTAGATCAAGATCATGAGCTACTCCGCTATAAAAGCAATCGCGCAGGCAATCCAGAACGGCACAAGAAGTTTGTTAGGCAAGAAAAAAAAGGATGATGTTGCTATAGTTGTCTCTGGACCATGGCATGGCCCAAGTGGTCCATCTCACCAATACACTCAACCTCGACCCAACCCAAAGCCTACACCCACACTCCATATAATCCACCCCAACAGAATTTCCCACCACAAGACCCTCAATACTCAATCAGGCCACGCCAATACCATGTTCACCATGCATAATCATATGCTCAACCACCTCCTTACTCGCAATGGCGTGTACCAGCTCCACAAAACTGTTATTCATACCCACAACCCTACCAAAACCATACTAGTACGAACTTTCGACCCTGGTCGGAGTATAAAAGAGAAAGGCAATAGCAGAAAGATACCTTCACCCCTATGGGAGAGTCCTATGCCAGTTTATTTCAAAGTTTGAGGTAATTGGATGTGCTGAGGCCGATTCAGTCAATGATACAAAATCCACCCCTGAAGAACCTTGATTATTCTCTAAGGTGCGCATATTGTTCTGACGCCCAGGGCATGATATAGAGAAATGTTGGCATTTGAAAAGATCAATACAAGGGCTTATTGATGTGAATCAAATTGCAATACAGATCCTAGATGCGCCAAACATCAACCAAAATCCTTTGCCAGCCCATGCAAGGAAACACATGATTGAGATAGTTCGTAAGGATGGGGAGTCCAGGAATTCTTCCGAGTCCATCATGATAATTCGTTCTAGTGAAGATAATTTAGTTAAGGTTCTAGACTCTACAAAAGCAATTCCCTCGACAGTTGAAGGGATGAAGGAGAAACTAAGGGTGCTCAACGTGAAGCCAGCTGTGTTGGTTGTAAAAGGGCCTTCCAAGGATGATGGGGCAAGTCAGGAAAAGCTGAAAGTGGCCGTGCCAGGGATCCCAAGAAAACCTGTTGTAGTCGTGAAAGTGGATCGTATTACCCTTGTGGTTATTAAGCCAGTGACCCAGTTTCTAGTGGTTGATAGAAAGGCTATACCGTGGAATTACAAACAAGATATAGTGACATATAAAGGGAAAGAAGTGGAGGAAGAAGTCAATGAAACTGGAGGACTGACTCGTTCTGGGAGGTATTTTACCATGGAAGAATTGAGGAAGGCCAAGCCGTTCAAGGATAGTCAAATGCTAGTAAAGAAGCCGGTCATCGAAGAAGAGGCTGAAGAGTTGCTGAAAAAGATGAAAGTTCAAGAATATTCCATTGTAGAGCAATTAAGGAAAACACCCGCTCAGATCTCTCTTTTGTCTTTACTGATACATTCAGATGACCACTACAAAGCCCTGATGAAGATTTGGAATTAGGCATATATTCTTAATAGGATCACAGTGAATCACTTGGAAAAGATTGTTAACAAGATCTTCGAAGCAAAAAGGATCACCTTCTCAGATGATAAACATCCTATGCAGGGTACAGAACACAACCGAGCTCTTTATCTCGCGGTGAAGTGCGATGAGTCTGTTGTCTCGAGGGTACTAGTTGATAACGACTCTAGTGCAAATATTTTCCCTTTGTTTACTTTGCAAAAGTTGAAAATCGGTATTGAAAGAATCCACATGAACAATGTATGTGTTCGAGGCTTTGATGGGGGAGGGAAAGATTCTGTCGGTGATATAATGCTCGAATTGTCGATAGGTCCAGTCGAGTTCACTATGGAATTTCAAGTGCTAGATGTGGTTGTCTCTTACAATTTGTTGTTAGGCAGGCCTTGGCTATATGCGGCTAAGGCAATCCCATCTTCCCTGCATCAAATGGTAAAGTTCGAATGGGACGAGCAAGAAATAGTTGTGCACGGTGATGAGGACATATCTGCTTATAATGACCTGTCTATTCCCTTTATTGAAGCTGAAGATGATAAAGGACCTTGGGTCTACCAAACTTTTGAAACAGTGTCTCTTGAGAAGATATTTTAGGGAGAATGCATTCCAGGTCCGGGGCTATCCTCTGTGTCCCTCATAGTTGCAAATGCAATATTGAAGTTTGGTTTTGTGCCGGGTAAAGGTCTGGGTTCATCTCTACAGGGTATTGTGCATCGAGTATGCCCATGTGAAAATTTTGGCACATTTGGTTTGGGATTCATGCCCACAAAGAGGGACGTGAAAAGAAAAATTAGAAATAGAAGGTATGGTCGCTACCCAGGCATGTACCACACATCTCGAAGTCTTTTATCAAGCCAGGGGCCGCAAAACGTCCAATATCATCAGTCCCGAAATATGTAGTCGATGTTGATGAAGAGCTGATCAAGAGGTTCCAGAGTTTGCTTGATGAGGTTGATATGGTAGAAATTGGGAAAATTTCTAGTAACGCAGATGTGCAGCTCGATGGGCCAAATGTGAAGCTTAGCAATTGGGAAGCTACTCATCTCCCCACACGGAAGGAGTTTTGATAGTTTGCTTTGTTTTTCTTTATGTTATATGGGTTATTCCAGAGTTGTAATCCAGATTTTTATTTTCGCGTGTTTTGATGTTCAAACACTTCTATCCTTTTTATTTTTAATGAAATGCAATTTTTTGTTCTCCGTTATTCCTAATAGTGTTTCATTTTGTTTTTCTTTTGTATAGTTGTTTTTATGCTTGTTCTAATGATATGACATGCATGAGAAATTTACAGCCAAGTCTTAAAAGCCAGTCTAATCTTGAAATAATGATCCAAGAAGTAGAATATGAAGAAGAAGTAGAATATGATGAAGAAGCAACATTTGAGGAAATAAGTAAAGAGCTAAAACACTTTGAAGAGAAACCAAAGCCTAATTTGAATGACACTGAAGCAATCAATTTAGGAGATCAGGATAATGTCAGGGAAACCAAGATAAGTGTGCATCTGGAGCCACAAGTCAAGGAAGAAATAATAAAAGTACTATTTGAGTACAAAGATGTCTTTGCATGGTCATATGGCAATATGCCGGGCTTAAGTACTGATCTGGTAGTTCATAAATTACCAATTGATCATGCATTCCCCCTGTCAAACAGAAGTTAAGAAAGTTTAAGACTGACATGAGTGTGAAGATAAAAGAAGAAATCACAAAGCAACTTGGGGAAAAGGTTATCCGGGTCACTCAATATCCCACTTGGTTAGATAATATTGTGCCAATACCAAAGAAGGATGGTAAGACCAGGGTATGTGTTGATTATCGTGATCTTAACAAGGCAAGCCCAAAGGATGATTTTTCATTGCCTAACATCCACATTCTGATTGATAATTGTGCCAAGCATGAGATTGGGTCTTTTGTGGATTGTTACGCGGGATATCACCAGATCCTAATGGATGAGGAAGATGCAAAAAAGACAGTGTTCATCCTACCATGGGGAACATATTGCTACCGAGTAATGCCATTTGGTTTGAAGAATGCTGGGGCAACTTAAATAAGGGCGATGACTAATATATTTCATGACATGATACACAGAGAGATTGAGGTTTATATAGATGATGTAATCATAAAGTCAAAGAAGCAGTCCGACCATGTCAAGGATTTGAAAAAGTTTTTCCAAAGGCTCCGTATGTATAATCTCAAGCTCAATCCAACTAAATGTGCATTGGGTGTCCCATCCGGGAAACTGCTAGGATTCATGGTCAGTCGACGCAGTATTGAGTTGGATCTGTCAATGATGAAGGCCATCCAGGAGCTACCACCACCCAAGAATAAAACTGAGGTGATGATCTTGCTTGGAAGGTTAAATTACACCAGCAGGTTTATTGCTCAACTCACAACAACTTGTGAGCCCATCTTTAAGTTGCTGAAGAAGAATGATGTGGTCAAGTAGACTGACAAATGTCAACAAGCATTTGATAAGATCAAGAGGTACCTATCAAACCCACATGCGTTGGTCCCGCCCGAGCTTTGGAGACCTTTAATCTTGTACTTGATAGTCCTGAATAATTCTTTTGGTTGCGTACTAGGTCAACATGAAGTTCACTCCTTTTGAGGTTAAGTATACTCTTCTTGAAAGGACATGTTGCGCCCTGACTTTGGTGGCACAAAAGTTGAAGCATTATCTTTTGTCCTACACTACTTACCTCATTTCTCGTGTGGATCCTCTAAAGTATATCTTTCAGAAGCCTATGCCCATAGGTAGACTTGCAAAGTGGCAGATTTTACTCATAAAGTTTGACATTATCTATGTGAATCGGACTGTGATGAAAGCTCAAGCTTTTGCTGACCACTTAGCCGAGAATCCGGTGGATGGAGAATATGAGCCATTGAGGACTTATTTTCCTGATGAAGAAGTGCTATATGTTGACGAAGTTGATCATAATGAAAAGCCAGGTTAGAAACTCTTTTTTGATGGAGCTGCTAACATGAAAGGTGTCAGAATAGGGGTTGTACTCATTTCCGAAACAGGGCAGCACTACCCTGTAATAGCCCAACTTTGATTTTATTGCACCAACAACATGGTTGAGTATGAAGCATGCATTCTGGTTGACGTTAGCTATAGACATGGGAGTCCAGGAAATACTGGTTTTGGAAGTTTCAGATTTGTTGGTTCACCAGATTCAGTGAGAATGGGAAACTCGGGACCTAAAGCTCATACCATATCGACAGTGTCTGTATGATCTTTGTCAACGATTCAGGTCTGTAGAATTTAGAAATATTTCTAGGATTCATAATGAGATTACCGATGCCCTGGCTATTATGGCTTCAATGCTACATCATCCAGATAAGGCTTATGTTGACCCTGTGCATATCCAAGTCCGTGATCATCATGCCTATTGTAATATGGTTGAAGAGGAACTTGATGATAAACCTTGGTTCCATGATATCAAGGAATACATCAAGTCCGGGGTATATCTGGTACATGCCACAGGTGTTCAACAGAGAACCATTCGACGTCTGGCTAGTGGTTTTTTCTTAAATGGAGGAATCTTGTACAGTAGGACTCCAGACCTAGGACTACTGAGGTACGTAGATGCTAAGGAAGCTTCAACTATCATGAATGAAATACATTCTTGAGTTTGTGGGCCTCATATGAACAGGTATGTCTTGGCAAAAAAGATACTTCGAGCACGTTATTATTGGCTCACCATGGAACGAGATTGCATCAGCTTTGTTCGCAAGTGTCATCAATGCCAGGTGCACGGTGATTTGATTCATTCTCCACCATCTGAGTTGCACACAATGTCTGCACCTTGGCCCTTTGTAGCTTGGGGCATGGATGTTATCGGACCAATTGAGCTGGCGGCATATAATGGACATAGGTTTATTCTGGTGGCCATTGATTACTTTACTAAGTGGGTCGAAACTGTAACTTTCAAGTCCGTGACCCAGACAATGCTTCTAATCTCAACAGTCATTTGATGAAAGAGGTATGCCAACAATTCAAGATTATGCATCGGAATTCTACTTCATATCGTCCCAAGGCAAATGGAGCTGTTGAAGTTGCTAACAAGAACATAAAGAAGATGCTTCGTAAGATGGTGCAAGTTTCTAGGCAGTGGTAGGAAAAATTTCCTTTTGCTTTGCTGGGCTATCACACTACTGTTCACATTTCAGTAGGTGAAACTCCTTATTTGTTGGTATATGGAACTGAGGCAATTATACCTACGGAGGTTGAGATTCCATCCCTTCGGATTGTTGCGGAAGCTGAAATTGATGATGATGAGTGGGTCAAAACCCGGCTAGAGCAGTTGAATTTAATTGATGAGAAATGATTGGCATCAGTGTGTCATGGTCAATTGTATCAGAAGAGAATGGCAAGAGCATACAACAAGAAGGTGCGTCCCAAAATTTGAAGTGGGCCAGATGGTATTGAAGTGCATCCTTCCACATCAAGCTAAAGCTAAAGGCAAGTACGCCCCAAACTGTCAGGGGTCGTTCACCGTGACAAGAGTGTTGCCCAATTGTGCTTTGTATTTAACATACATAGAAGGAAAAGTTGTAGATATGGCTATCAATTCTGATGCAGTCAAAAGATACAATGTGTTATTTCTTAGCTCATATTTAATCACATGTTTTGTACTTGGAATTTTCAAAGTTTGGTATGTCGAAGGCATTTTATTCTGCTATCCAAACACTTTTATCCTTTGTTACCTCTTTTGAGCCTTATTTTGTTTTCTTTCATACCCCTCTTTTGGAATCAGAAGTAGAGTTAGAAAATAAAAAAGAAAAGAAAGAACAAAACAAAATGAATCGTGGTTGGAACTATGTTCGACCTGATTCCTTTTAAGGATACGTAGGCAGTCTTACTCTGAGGTTTGATCCCATCAAAATAAAAATCCAAAATTCCCAAAAGTTGTAATTTTGAACCCTTTCATCTTAAGTTGTTTTGAGTCTCCATACCGCCCTTTCTTTCTAACCCTGTCTAAAAGCCTACATTACGACCCAAAGAAAGACTTTCCGATCAATCTTTGAGGATGCCAAGTTAAGAGAGATAGAGGTATTATTTACATCATGGGTAACACTTTGTTCGTGGGCATAAGGAAAAATGAATAAAATGAGAGTCTTATTGGTGTAAACCCTCACGGGCACTGTAAGGCGATAGTGAGCTGAGGGAAAATTTAAAATGAGAGAGTCTTATTGGTAAAAACCCTTGCAGGCACCATAAGGCGCCGACGAGTTGAGAGATGAACAAATGATAGACGTTTGTCGGTGAAAACCCTTCAGGGCAATACAATTCGAATGAGGTTTGTGACTTTATAGAGAAATTGGATCATTGCAAGCTCGATTTTGAAGTATGAAGGCATGACGCAAACTGAAAGTGTGTTTGGTTGGAAGGATTAGGCTGATCAATACGAAGCGCATGTCATGATCATCAGAGCCAGCTGCTTCACTCAGATAAGCCTCTTCTCCTCTCTTCTCCGAATAGACATCTTCATTCAGGCCTTTCCTTTTTGTTCCTTTTGCCAAAAATCACTTCGCTTTGTTCTTTTGGTTCTATTTCTTTGTGTCTCTTTCAAGTCAGTTTCGTTAATACAAGAAAAAAAGGACTTAAAAGTCTACTACCGGCTTCTTGATTGCACAAGGCGAAGTTTGGCCAAGCACATCGCAAGTGACATGATTCAGAAAGAGCAATGTGGTGATAACTGAAGTTCAGGTGATCAAGTGATTCTTGAATTTTGAGAAAATGCAAAGGCTCAACAATTGTCAGCATGAAAACACAATGCAACAAGTGAGTGTAAGGGATTCGGGTCATTCAAAGGTTTTTGTGGTCGAGGTTCGATCAGAAGGTCAAACAAGTCCTTCTCAGCTCGAAGCATCCAATCAAATAAAGCATGGCAGTGGGAAAACCGGACACCTTCAGCAACAATGCCACAAACTAACCACCATATTTTCAAACTAACAAGATTTTCTTTGTTTGAAACAGGGGCAAGAAATTTGGTCATTCGCAAGGATCCTCCATGAGAAAAGCAAGGTTTCAGGTAAGATCACTTTTAAGTTTTCAGGACCCTCCTAAATAATGGGATTTATTTTTTAGATTTCAGGACCCTCCTGGATAATGGGATTTAGTTTTAGCCTTTCAGGACCCTCCAGGATAATAGAATTTAGTTTTAAGTTTTCATGACCCTCTTGGATAATGGGATTCAGACTTTAAATTTTCAGGACCCTCCTAGATAATGAGATTTACTTTTAAGTCTTTAGGACCCTGCTGGATAATGGGATTTAATTTTAAGTCTTCAGGACCCACTTAGATAATGGGATTTAATTTTAAGTCTTCAGGACCCTCCTAGACAATGAGATTTAGTTATTAGTTTTCAGGACCCTCCTGGATAATGGGATTTAATTTTAGGTTTTTAGGATCCTCCTTGATAATGGGATTTGGTTTTAGGTTTTCAGAACCCTCCTGGATAATGGGATTTAATTTTAAGTTTTCAGGACCCTCCTAGATAATAGAATTTAGTTTCATCTTTTCAGGATCCTCCTAGATAATGGGATTTAGTTCTAAGTTTTCAGGACCCTCCTGGATAATGAGATTGAGTTTTAGGTTTTAAGGACCCTCCTGGATAATGGGATTTAGTATTAGGTTTTTAAGACCCTCCTAGATAATGGAATTTAGTTTAGGGTTTCAAGACCCTCCTGGATAATGGGATTTAGTTTTATGTTTTCAGGACCCTCGTGGATAATGGGATTTAGTTTTGTGTTTTCAGGACCATCCTAGATAATGGAATTTAGTTTTAATTTTTCAGGACCCTCCTGGATAATGGGATTTAATTTTTATTTTTCAGGACCCTCCTGGATAATGGGATTTAATTTTAAGTTTTTAGGACCCTCTTGTATAATGGGATTTAGTTTTAAGTTTTCAGGACCCTCCTGGATAATAGGATTCAGTTTTAAGTTTTCAGAACCCTCCTGGATAATGGGATTTAATTTTAAGTTTTCAAGACCCTCCTGGATAATGGGATTTAGTTTTAGCTTTTGAGGACTCTCCTGGATAATAAGATTTAGTTTTAGATTTTCAGGACCCTCCTGGATAATGGGATTTACTTTTAGGTTTTGATGACCCTCCTGGATAATGGAATTTAGTTTTAGGTTTTTTGTACCCTCCTAGATAATGGGATTTAGTTTTAAGTCTGCAGGACCCTCCTGGATAATGGGATTTAGTTTTAGGTTTTCAGGACCCTCCCGGATAATGGGATTTAGTTTTAAGTCTGCAGGACCCTCCTGGATAATGGAATTTAGTTTTGTATTTTCAGGACCCTCCCGGATAATGGGATTTAGTTTTAATTTTTCAGGACCCTCCTGGATAATGGGATTTAATTTTATGTTTTCAGGACCCTCCTGGATAATGGGATTTAGTTTTAAGTTTTCAGGACCCTCCTGGATAATGGGATTTAATTTTAAGTTTTTAGGACCCTCCTGGATAATTGAATTTAATTTTAAGTTTTCATGACCCTCCTAGATAATATAGTTTAAATATTTTGTTTTCAAAAGATAAAATGAAAAGTTTTAAAAAAATATTTTCACTTAGTTTAGTGTTACTTTTAAGTTGTAGGTCTTTAATAAAATATAGATTAGTATTTAGTTTTTAAAATATAGTTATTTTGTCTCTTTCTTTTAATGTCCTATTAGTTTAGATAAGTATTAATTTTGATAAATGAAAACAAAAAAAAAAATCGAAGAAAAAAAGAAAACGAGAAAACAAGGCAAATGGGGAAAAGAAGTTTGAGTTGGACCCACCATCCCTCTTCTCTAAAGCAGGTTCACGTGATATATATAGAGAGAGAGATAAATATTAAGAATTTTGATGGCATTTTTATTTTTCAGATTTTGTCTTGTTTTGCATAACAAATGTTTAGGTGGTCCCCACACTCCAAGTAATACCCTCAGTCCCTCACCATCCAAGGAGATTCCTTCACATTGCAGTACACCTTTGCTAACGTTCAGCATTTTTATTTTTCAATCTTCATCACACTCACGTTTCAGCGAGAGGTGGCAGACACCGTTTTTGTTCCACTCACATCTCTTAGACCTCTTTTCTCTAAGTAGTAGCAGATCAAACACACATGAGCTCGCTCATCTTCCTCCGTGGTTTTTCCTCCATTTTCGCCATGTAAAAGCTCCAAAACCAGCAGTGAAACAACCCCGTTTCTCACTAGGGGTGGGCATATATCGGTTACAACCGAAAAAATTAACCGAATCAAAAATATTTTTATTTCGGTTTCGGTTATTCCGTCTTTTCGGTCGGTTTCAATTTAAAAATTTTAAAATTCAGTTTTTCGATTCGGTCGTTGGTTATTGATTTAATTTGTTTGGTTAACCGAAAAATTAAATTATTAGCAAATGGATTCTTTAAACTATATATAGGCTAAGCCCAATATAACAAATACTAGATCCAATTTTAAGTTCCATCAAAGACAGTCCACTCTTAACAAATACTAGGCCCACACTTAAAGACTTTTAAGTTTTAAGGTCAATCAGGCATGAGCTTTTCCCACTCTTAAGCTTTTCCCAAATACGCTAGGGTTTTTTTTCCTTCAAACTTCTCTCTCTAGTCTCTATCGCCATTGATACACTGGTGCGGTTGTGTCGGTAAGCTTAATTTTTATTATATTTCTCTCATTTCTTCTTTTTTGTTCTCTGTCCTCGCCGATCTTCTCTTCTTTCTCTAGTTTTAGTAAATTTTTTCTTTTTTTTCTGCTAAAAATTAGTAGTAAAAGACTTAAAGGTTCATGTATATTGTTGAAAGAAGTCTTGACTCTTGAATTTGATGTCCATTTTCTGTCTCCTTGCTCGGTTATTGTTTCTGTTTCCTCATTTAATTTTGTGCTTGTTTCTATCTCCTCCTCTAACTTCCTTTTTCGCATTATTATAGCTCAGTGTTTTATTGTTCTGCTTGTATTCGTTTTTGTAGATGGAAGAAAATGGAAGTAGGGTAAGCGAAGCCTGCGAAGGTGGGGGTTCAAATGATAGCATACCTAACACTGAATGTCTCAATCCTGATGAAGCTCCAAAGAAAAGAAAAGTCATGCAACTTAGATCTGATGCTTGGAACCATTTTGAGAAGTATGATGATCCTAGTGGAGCTAAAAGAGCAAAATGTAAGTATTGTGAAAAAACTTATGCAGCTGCTACGAAAGGTATTGGTACTACATCAATGAACAATCATCTCACTAAGTGTCCCAAAATGCCCCGTAAAATAGAAAATAGTCAAACACAACTAAGTTTTCTACCAGCTTCAAATGGGGCAAATGAAGGGGTGCTTACCACTTGAAAATTTGATCAAGCACTTAGTAGGAGAGCTTTAGTTCTAATGATAATTTTAGATGAACTGCCACTTAGTTTTGTTGAAAAGGAAGGATTTAAGAAGTTTATAGGAGTCACAATACCTCAATTTCAAATTTCTTCTCGTAGAACATTGACAAGAGATTGTTATAAACTTTATTGTGAACAAAGACAAAGTTTGAAGAAGTACTTCAATGAAGCACGTCCAAAAATCTGTCTTACAACAGATACTTAGACTTCTATACAAAGAATAAACTATATGTGTCTTACTGCTCACTTTATTGACAGTGATTGAAAATTGCATAAAAGGATAATAAACTTTTATCCTATCTCTAGTCATAAGGGTAATGATATGGCGGCGGTTATTACTAATTGCTTGCTTGATTGGGGTTTGAAAAATGTATTTACTATAACGGTAGATAATGCTAGTTCCAATGATGTCTCAATAAGAGAAGTGCCTAAACAATTGACTACTTGGGGAACTAAAATAATGAATGGTAAACACCTGTATGTTAGATGTATGGCTCACATACTTAATCTCATTGTACAAGATGGGTTGAAAGAAATTGATGTTTCTATCAAGAGAGTTAGACAAGATGTGAGATACATTAGACTATTTCCCGCTAGGATTAGAAAGTTTAAAGAATATTGTGAATCTCAAAAGTTAACTTCCAAGAGAACATTATGCTTAGATGTTTCTACTCGATGGAACTCTACATACATGATGTTAGACACAGCACAACAATTTGAGCTTGCATTTGATAAATATAGTTTCTTTGATACTGAATTGTTGCATCATTTTCGTACCTATCTATGTGAAAATGGAACTAGTGCAGGTGATCTCACAAGTGCTGACTGGGATAATGTGAGAACAATGGTAAAATTTCTTGAAACTTTTTATTTTCTTACTTTGAGGGTCTCTGGTTCTATTTATGTCACTTCCAATGTATATTTTGTTCAAATTTGTGAGCTTGATCTTATTTTGAAAGAGTGGATGGAACATGAAGATGCTAGTTTGAAAGAAATGGCAAAAAAAATAAAAGAAAAATTTGTCAAGTATTGGGGTGAACCTGAAAAAATGAACAATATGATCATTATTGCATCAATTTTGGATCCCTCTAACAAGCTTGACTATGTTCCTTTTGCAATTGTGAGGATGTTTGGAGAAAAAGAAGGGGAGAAATTGATTTTAGAAGTGAAAAATTATATAAATTCTTTATTTGATTATTATGTAAAGAAAATTTCAAAAGGATCTACATCTGCTTCATCTGGAAACACAACAACTACTGTGACTGGTTATGGTAGCTTTTTGAAAAGGGGAACAATGAGAACGAAATTGAAATTTGAGAAATATAAGGAAGTGACAGGAGGTTTAGGTGCTAAATCAGAGTTAGATAGATATCTTGCTGAAGATATTGAGCCTGAAACGGATGAGTTTAAAATCTTAAAGTGGTGGAAAATTAATGAGCCTAGATTTTCCATTCTTGCGGAGATGGCTCGTAATGTGTTAGTCATTCCTATTTCAAGTGTTGCATCAGAATGTGCATTCAGTACTGGAGGTCACATTCTTGACTCGTTTAGGAGTTCGTTGACGCCTAAACTGGTGCAATCTCTTATTTGTCTTCAAGATTGGCTTAGAAGTGAACCTATTCCTATTAAAGTTGAGGAAGACTTGGAATATCTAGAACAACTGAAACTTGGTAATTATTTTATATTTTGCATTTATTATATTACAAATAGTTTACTTAACACTGATGCATGATAAAGTTTTCTTCAATATTTTTCTTAGATTTGGCTAATTGTGCAAAAGATTTCACTATTATTGACATATAGTTGCAACTTGTGGCATGTGTAGCAAGTTGATAACCTTCTGTATATTTGATGATATAATATTGATATACTTTATTATAAATCAATTGTGTTTTTGACTTATAATTGTGTCTTTTTTTGCAAAGGTTTGATCATGGCGCCTAAATAGAACTTACGGATTATGTATCATCTTCGTAAATACTTAGATCAACAAGTAAATAGACAAGTAGTAAATAGACAAGTGATGCTGCAGTAATAACTTGCTAGTGAGCTCTTTTGGTAGACAAGCTGATGCTACAGTAGTAATTAATGTAGTTATTTTGCTGGTTTTGAGACTTCAGCAAGATGAAAATTTTCTAACTTCTGGATTACTCTTTTGGTTATGTAATATTGCTTGTACTAAATAGTGGTTTCCTACTAGCTGCTCAAGCTAACTTTTGGATATAATGAATGAAGTTTATGTGCAAATTATCACATTGGCATGTTTCTAGGTTTTTGGCAGCAAAGCAGCATAGATTCTAGGTTTTTTGTTCTCTCATGGCTGAATATTGGACATATGTTGCTGCATATTGAATTTGATATGGGTATTATGTTTCTTGATTATGTGCAAATTATCATATTGCCATGTGGTTTTATAAATAAACCAGATGGATGCTGCTTTTCAAGCTCCTGTTGGTGGTCTATTGTTCGCTCTAGAAGAAATGGCATCTTGGTATATTTTAAACTATGTACATGATTTTATCTGATTCTTGGTAGACCAAAAGGTTTTTGGGAGATAATAGTCCTTATCACTATATTTGTGTTACTAAGATTATAATAGATTTTCTCTACAAATCAGATTTTTTAATCAAGAATACTCCTCAGCAACACAAATCAGATTTATATAAATAAAAGAACAGATTTATGATTTATCACATTCAAGCAATACAAGAAGTCCGAAATTTTGAAAAAAAACCAACAAATTAGTCAGTCCAATTAATACGTAGAAGAAGCCCAATATGATAATGTTCAAACCGAAAACCGAACCGAAATAAACCGAACCGAAATTAGAAAACCGAATTTATTTCAGTTCGATTTCGGTTACTACTTTTACAAAACCGAAAACCAAATAACTGAACCGAATTTCTTCAAACCAAACTGAACCGACCGAACGCCCACCCCTAATTCTCACCTCAAAACACCCCAAGGTTATCCGCACCTAAATGAAAGAAAATATAAAAATACTAAAAGTTCTATATTGTGCTTCGATGTCGTCGTGCCTTTGGGCTCCAGCTACATGTACTTTGGGCATTCCCCGGATAAAAATATTTACAAGTTTCTCGAGACATTTTTCGGATAAAATAATAAATTAAGCCACAACCTCTAACCTCATTTCACAACTAGTTCCATTACTAGACCAAACCCAATCCTATTAATTCCAAACACTGTCGTGACCCATTTTATACTCGCAATGAGTTTTCGCCCAAAATAATTAACCAAATAGATCACGTACATTCAGCTTTTTAAGAAAACTAAACATAAATTTTAGAGCACTCATATGGCATACAAATAATAATCAAAGAGCACAAAATATCATTCAAATAAAAAACAAGGAAAAGAAAGGGGACAACCTTCTGCAGCAAAACTTCAATATTTGATTAATGAGAAGACCAAGGATAGCTTGACTATAAATTGATCTTTACAGCACAGATTGAGCCGAAACCTTAACCGGAAAATAGAACCTCGGATCTTTTTGTGTTTATTCATCTTTTGTGTGTTTTTACCTCAATTAAGTATTTTTAAAAGCCAACTGGATCAAGTATGCAACCGTACTAATTACGGGATTCGGGAATGCCTAACACCTTCTTCCCGAGTCAAATGAACCCTCCTACTTAGAATTTCTGGTGCAAACTGGTTTAGAGTCAAATATATTTTTACGGAAAAATTACTTTTAAATGGTGACTTGGCACACCGAGATTATATGCCAAGTGGCGACTCTAAGAAAATCCTTTTTAAACAAATGTTTTGTCACTTTCATGATTGAAAATCCTTTTGAGCTTTGAAACCATTTTATCTATTTTTAAAATGGGTTAAGGTAAAAAAAAGGGGTGTGACAACCGGTGTATAAAACTTAGGTTCGCTAGTCAAAGATAGTATAGTATTAAATCGTCTCCACAGGGATTGGTTTAAATAATGTTCTAATAAATCTTCAGCTCAACACTATCCAGGATAATAAACCTTTGATTGATGTTATTATCGACCACAAATAAAATTAAGATTATCAATTGTAAGAAACTAATGACACTTTAATGACTAGTAGCAACGATTGAATATCAGGGTGAGAAGTAAGGGTTGTGATAAGATATGTGATCAACTATTGTTCTAGATAACTCTGGATTAAGTTCATTCTTAACTTCTATTGACTCCATCGATTTCAACAGATGATTAGGCTAATTTGGGGATTCAAATTCTTCTTCCGAATGAATGAGATTCCTTTGATCAACCTAATAAAAGGTCCTATGAATATATGCACGAAATAGTGAATGAATGATCTTTCGAAGAACACCTCTCGATTATTCTTCTAAACTGGGTTAATTGATAACTCTCTAAGCTCTTTCGATTACCTAGAAGAGGCGTAAAATCAACCCAAACAATATGGCACAATGCGAATAGCAGTAAAACTTCTCTTTCGATTAAAGTAAAATCACAATAAGCCTTGCAATTCAATTAATAACTCATTCAATGAATTCGGGCAGTTAACATAGAGTAAAACCCAAAACGATAGTCAAATCACAATATCCGTCAATAACCCTAAGCAAGATTACTTCATAATGGAGAAAGTATTCATCGCAAGAGTATTAGAAGAACAAAAAGACATTACAATTCCCATATTTAAACAAACTTCCGTATTGAATGAATTGGATTAAGTATTTTGCACTTTCGTTGCTTCCTTGCCTTCTTCTCTCCCAAAAGTTGCTCTAAAAGCCTAGATTCCCTCTTTTTAGACGAGTTGGGCTTCATATAGGTTAAGAGGAGTTGCCTCCGAAATTACAAAAATAGGCTTGGGAAAGTTTTCTGGACTGGACGTGCGTGGCCGCGCGCCTGGGCAGGTGATCGCGCATACGGCCGCGCACTTTGGACATGGTTTTGCTCCACTTGCACGCCCAGTGCGCGCTCGTGCACCTGGGTGGCTTCCTGCTTCATTCATCATTTCTCTTCGTCAAGTGCATTATTGTTCGTTGCTCCTCGATTACAGTCCCAACTTAATCCATGGGTTTATACTAAGACTTCAATGCTCCAGAATAGCTCAAATTAGCTCCACAACCTCATCATAACTTGGAATCGCTCAAACAAAACACACACTCAGAGCAAAATAATACTATTTTAAGCTCAAACACTAGTAAAGTGCAGGAAATTAAAGGGTAATTAATGACCAAAATACGCAATTATAGCCTACCATCATGCACTCAGGTATCCAGGACACCATGGCTCGAGAGGTGGAGATGTGGACTTCTCACGGGCTAGTTGTGGAGATAGCTTAGAGGATCGAGGGCATCCGTCAGTGGAGCCGAGAGTAGACGACGAGGGATAAACTGTTTCGATATTCTAAAGAGTTCAGTGGTGCCCCGGCTGGGGGCAGGGGGCAGTTCGTGAGGGGTCAGTCTAGTAGGCCCACATATCTAGCATTGCCGCCTCCTCGAGGTGCTCCAGTGTGACCTTATTTCAGTGCCATTCCAGAGAGTTCTTACCACCCACCAACTATCTAGGGTTCCTCCAATGGGTATTCAGGCCATCAGGGTCAGACTTTAGGTCATCAATCCACCGTACCGAAAGGTTGTTTCGAGTGTGGGGATCTAAGTCATGTGCGGAGGTTCTGCCCCAGGCTTCGGGGCAAGGCAGTGCAGCAGGGTCAGCAACCTATGATTCCAGCACCAGTTGTTCCACCAGTCGTCCGACCTTCCAGAGGCGGAGGGTAGTGGGTAGGGGTCGTCCTAAAGGTAGAGGCCAACCAGGTGGAGGCCAGGCAGGTGGCGCTCCAACTAGGTTCTATTCTTTTCAGGCCAAACCAGATGCAGTGACCTCAGATGCCGTGATCACAGGTATTATTTCTGTCTGCGGTAGAGATGCTTCGGTACTATTTGATCCAGGGTCTACCTATTCATATGTTTCATCTTTGTTTTCTCACTTCCTTGGTGTTTCTCGTGAGTCCCTAGGTACTCCTGTTTATGTATCCACTCATGTGGGCAATTCTGTTATTGTGGATTGGATCTATCAGTCTTGCATTGTTACTTTATGTGGTTATGAGACTAGAACAGATCTTTTGGTGCTCGATATGACTGACTTTGAGGTCATCCTTGGCATGGACTGGTTATCTCCATATCACGCCATCCTTGATTGCCATGCCAAGACTGTTACCTTGGCGATGCCAGAGTTGCCTAGGTTAGAGTGGAAGGGTTCGTCTGTCAGTGCATCTAGCTGAGTTATCTCTTTTCTGAAGGATCGACATATGGTCGAGAAGGGTTGTTTGGCTTATCTAGCTTATGTTTGAGATACTACTACAGAGACTCCATAGATTGATTCAGCGCCCGTAGTCTGGGAGTTCTCCGATGTGTTTCCTTCTGATCTTCCAGGCATGCCACCAGATCGCGATATCGATTTCTGTATTGATTTTGGTTCCAGGTACCCAGCCTATCTCTATTCCACTGTACCGCATGGCACCGTACCCAGCTTGAGGAGTTGCTAGCAAAGGGGTTCGTCAGACCGAGTGTATCGCCTTGGGGTGCACTAGTATAATTTGTGAAGGAGAAAGATGGGACTAGGAGGATGTGCATTGATTACCGCCAGTTGAACAAAGCTACCATCAAGAACAAGTACACATTGCTGCATATTGATGACTTATTTGATTAGTTGCAGGGTGCTAGAGTGTTCTACAAGATTTACTTCAGGTCGGGGTACCATCAGTTGAAGATCCGGGACTCGGCTGTTCCGAAAGCTGCTTTCCGGACTAGATATGGCCATTATGAGTTTCTAGTGATATCCTTCGGTTTGACTAACGCCCTATCATTGTTTATGAATTTGATGAACCAGGTGTTCAGGTCGTATATTGACTCATTTGCCATTGTCTTCATTGATGACATTTTGA